CCCCGATGGCTATCTGCCTAAGGGAAGGGATAGCCTTCGTGGAGGACTTTCTAAGGGAAACTGGCTCGTATATACGTTACACATGGGGAAAACTACGAAAACGCCCATGCAGGCAGCCCGTTCGTGGAATTCGAACCTCGGACCGAACTACCAGTGTTCAGTGACTTTACCACTCGGCCGCTTGTGGGCCTACCGTAGTGTGAGAAAGTAAAAGTTTAACGGCATGTATTCATTTAAGTAGGGTAGATTGGAAACTGAGAATTCAAGCGTTAAGTTAAGAGACACGCGCCATACCGGCCGCATAAACAGATGATTCTCCATCTAGAGTTTATATTAGAAAAATTGTAGTTGGGGGGGGGGGTTCCATTTGCCATTTTTACATTTCGCTCACCAACCGTCCAATATACACGGAATTTTTGCTCACAGCTCACAGTTGCAGTTCAGACTTTCACTTACAGAGAGCACTGCAATTTTTAATTGATATTCGATTGTGATTTGAATTTATGATGCATACATATATTTTTTAATTATCAGCGGTGCATTACGTGTTCAACGGGAACATTACATACGTTAGAATGTATCATCCAATTACACATTATTACATGGCATCGAAAAACAATTCTTTTGTAATTTTCTGAAATTTCATTGTAGATATCCATCTAGAATTACCTTTCTTTCTTCACGTTTAGATCGTAAAGGTTTTACTACATTTTGATTTTGCGCAAAGGTTAAAAATTTGTTCTAAAAATCTGTCGAAACGATGACGTGTAATGACGTTTTCCATTTGGTAACGACATATTTTTTTTTTATTTATTAACGGTGCATTACATACGTGTTAAGGGTATGTTTTACTGCAGTCAATTTTAATTAATTATTTTACCATTAATCTTTACTTCCTTGTACGAAGAAGTATTGTAATTATGAAAAATTCCGGGTACCACATTTCAACGAAAATATCCATTTTGACAGCTATCGAATACAATTTAACGACATTTTTGGGTGACGTCTGTACCTAAAGACAGAACAAAGGACTCTTTTCCCCCTAATAAATAATTTCCTAACCCACATTTTGAATTTTCCTTTTTGATTTATTCCATATTCTATACGATATTAAAAAATTTTTGATTAACAAACTCTGCGATTTAAAAGTGATCACTGGCAACGCAGCTCGAAATAAAATATTTTTATGTCCAGAGCGCCGGACGTGTCATTCTGCAAAATGTAAAATACTTATCTTGCCGTTTTGTTAGAAATTTCGGCTATTAAAAGCAATGTGTTGCCACTGCATGATATAAAATGCTTCTATATTCCACGCGCTAGGTCGTTATTGATTCACAAATCGGGCGATTTAAAAGTAGTTCTCAAGAATACTTTTCTGTTTTTTAATCTGACTGATTTAAATAAAATTGCATTAAGTAATGATATGTCTAATTAGAAATATTAAATATTTTTATGATATTACTCTAGCTGAACTCATGCAGCATAAAATTAAAAATGAGTGAATGGAATAAATAACGAAATTTTAATTTCATAAATAAAAGTAAATTTCAGAAGCACTGGATATAAGCAATGTAATTTCAAAAGCAAAATCAAATAAATAAGCTCATTGTAACAGCTGTAAAGTGTATAAATAAAGCTGGTTATTTCTTTTCATAGGAAAATATTATTCAGTCTTAATTTCATGTTGCAAATAGTATTAAATTTAAAACAATTAAGTACATCTAAGTGTATTTCCACAAGCATCATTTTATGGGTTAAAAATGACGATAACTTAGTCTTGTCAGTTTCCACGTCTTGCTATTATTATGTTACATTTATTTTCAGTGTGGCCAGGGAAACCATCAGTTCTTTTATGCCATTTCACATGGTGTAAAAATCTAAGCAACTTTATAAATTTTATCATTTCCGACAGATGTTGCTTGGTATGGCATATATCTATATATTCCTGTGGATATCGTTTAATTCCTGTGGCATATCTTTTAATTCATTGTTTCAAATTAAAACTGATCGTTGGATATCAAACTTGGTATTTTTAAAGTAATATACACAAACATCTTAATAAAGTAATTTAAATCACTATTTTACTTTGAAAAAATCGTCAAGGGATACTATTTTTAACATATCTAGCTTACATAATCTAATATTTAATATTTAACCAACTTATAGAATTTTGAAGCAATACATGTTTTATATGTATACATCACATCTTTATATACGTGCAACATACATACATCATACATTACATTTTTACGTACATAGATCACATTCAATGCAATTTTTAGGATATATAATATATAAATTAGATATTATTTAGATACAAAACTCTATTAAACATTCGTACTATTATTATAATTAATCAAATATGTTTCCACTCCACGTATTTATGTGTATCCGCAGAATAAAATTCTTGAGCATCTAATAACGAATTTATTACATTTTATTTTTACGAAAAAAAAATTTTTTTTTATTAGTCCAAACGAACTTTATCCCTGAATGACTATTGTTTTCGTTTTCGATTTTGTGTTCGTTCATTTTAAATGTCCGTTTCACTTTTCAAACTGTTGCCACCAAATGTTAGAGTCCTGCGTTATATTTGAAGAAATTAAATAATGAAAAATCTGCATAAATGTATGCATATTTCTCGCATTGTGATAAAACAACGGTACCTAGAGCCATCGAATTTTAAATGACGTAATTCTACTGCGAATGTGGGCATGTGGAAGCTCAAATTTGAAATTTGGAATTTGTTTTATTATTGATTTCATATTTTGTAAATCTTTAACGAATTTTTGATTAACAAACTGAAGGATTTCAAAGCGAACAATGCAACGTTGTACAGAAAAAACATTTTTATCTCCAGCGCGTGAGACTCTGTATCGGAAATTCTAAAGATATGCTGAATTTAAAACTATTTTGTGATATTGCAGTTGAACTGAATTTTGTCGTTTAAGTTCTAAGAACGTGATATTTAATAAATAAAGGTAAGAGACAAAATGTTAAAAAGAACGCCCCTTTGGACGTAATTTAAAATCTGAAAATTTTATTAGCCCAAAGGGGCAATTTACAGTGAAGGGCTATTAATTTCGTTTTGGCATCTTACGTCGTCCATTCTAAAACGGCATGTCGCTTTTAAATTATTGCCACCAAATATTAGAGCGCTGCATTACATTTAAAGAAATTAAATAATGAAGAATCTGCATGAATGTATGCATGTTTTGTCGTATTTTGGAAAAAAAAAAAAAAAAAAAAAAGGTATCAAATTTTGAATTCAGTAGTCCTTTACTGGAACATAGGCATCTGGAAAACCAAATTTGGAATTTGTTTTATTATCTTTTTCATATTTTGTAAAGCATTTATGAGTTTTTGACTCAGAAAGTCAACAATTTCAAAGCGAGCAATGTACGAGGAAAAAAAAAGTATCTCCAGAGCCCAAGTGGAAATTTTAAAGATATGCCCTTTTTAAATATTTTGTGATACATCTGTTGAAATGAATTTTATGGTTTAAATACGAAGAACATGATATTTTACAAATAATGGTAACACACAAAACGTTACGAAAAACACGGCTTTGGGGTAATAAAATCTGAAAGTTTTTTTTTTTTTTTTTTTTTTTAATTTATTTATTTATTGTGATTGTTAATAAAATCAATGCTGTGTAAATATCGCAACCATTCTCGCTCGGGCTCAAATTTCTTTTCAAATTCCATTGGCAACAATGTTAACATTCGCCGGATCTTGCTAGCTGCGTATGGAGTAATGAAGAAATTGCAGGGTACTGCTATCTCACCAAGGATGCCGCGAAATAGGGCAAGTTGATGACATTACGTAAAGACCTAATGTACGAGATTTGCGGCGAAGGATGTTTTGCGACAAATACTAAAAATGCCTCGCGGCCCGGAAAGCCGCCGAGCGAGTCAAAAACAAGACAGAGAAAACAAAATCTAGCCTGAAGCGCAAAAATGCGAATGGAGTCAAAAGGAAGGTAGGAAGTCAAGTCTTTTTTGAAGAGAGAGGTGGAGCTTAAAGCATATGTGAAGGTCGACCTGTTGTGGGGCAAGTACGCTAGCGCACGCTGTTACCTCAGCTATGTGGACAAGCCACATATTTGTAGCTTCGCAAAGCGACTTGCGATAGTGATTTCGACGTTCTTGAATCCACCGAGTCGAACGATTGCACCTGCCTCAGCCTTTCTTTGGCGTTCTTTCGCAACACCTGTGTTTCTCTTCTTCTCTTCCCCTGTCTTGTTGTTGTTGTTCGAGATTACGCAATGCCACATCGTCGCGTTGTAATCTGTTATGGTCTCTTAACGTTTGTTCGATAAGCCGAAATCCCCTCGGATAAATTCTTCATATTCTGACATGTTTTAAGAATTTATCACTTTTTTAACTCACGCGTGAGCTGTTCTAGTTGGACTATGACAATTGCTCTAGGTAATAAATAATTTCTTAGAACTTTTAATATATATATCTTAATAGATCATCTGTTATCTGAAAAAAAAAAAAAAAGTACATCCTCAAGTTACCAAACTTACTTCGAATTATATTGCTTGAATTAATGAAAGTATTTATCAAGTGTAGCATTTAATAAGTATGCAGTGGTGTTGCTAAAGAAAACACGAAATTTGTGTTTTTTTAACTGTATTTTATTTGTCAATAAAATATAAAACTGTTGAATACCATGAAAGTAATACTACAAATTGCTCTATGACAGTTACTTTCTATTTTCTTCAAAAGCTATCCAAAACATGAACAATAATATTTATAATTTTTGATATCGTTTGGTATAAAGCATGTATAATCGATAAAAATTACATTGACTTTTGCCTAAAAAGTTGCTTGTTACAGAAGAAAATAATAATAATAATAACTAACTAACTAACTATACGGAATTAATTCAGAAAAAGAGAAATTCACGATATTGTTTACGGAAGAAACATAAAAATAGAACAAATATATAGAAGGAAAAACATTTTCCTGCCATGAAGCGATGAAATACGTTACCGATTTTCAAGTCAAGGTCAAAAGGTATTCGAGCCTGCTATATTTTATAATCATGCCATTTAAGACTGACTGTACTCATTGAGAATCGACCCATCTTTCCCACGAAGCATGAAGTCGGAAACATTTTAACTGGAAGAAAAAAAAAATCACCTGGATTATACTTCGAGCACCTACGATGCATAACTTTAGATAGAAGTAAGTTTACACTCATAATTTTTCTTTTATGTTTATCTTTTTTTATTACGATCGAAAGCGGTGATGCAAAGCATTCTAAAATTTTATTTGATTCCCCCCCTTCAATTATGATTTTGTGCGCTAGATTTCGCAAATGATAACTCTAAATAATACTTTTGGCCTCCTAAACAAATGCTTCAGTTACTCGTTTTATGGTTATTTTTGCTTATTTACGTTTTCTTGAAAATGGTGAATCGTCTGTGAATAATGTTATTATTTGAAATTTCATCTGAAGCTATTGGTTTGTTGTACTTGTGAAATGTTCATGTATTTTTTTTAAACATAGCTTCTTCATTCTCAAAGAATATATTAAATATTTTTTCATGTTTTATAATTCAATCTTGCGTTCAGTGGAAGTGAAAATGTGCATCACAGTTTTTGGTTTTTTCTTTTATTTTGAAAATTTTAATGTTATTAACAGTAAGTACAGATCTTCAGATAGATAAGTATTTTGATGGTTGTTAGCAGTTACGCAGGCAAATTTCCGATTAACCAGCTTCCGTAGGACCATGCCTTAAGCAGGATAAATGAACGGCCGGTTAATTGGAAAAACAGCGCGAAATTTCACTTGTAAATTATAAATCGAATTAAAAAAGTAAGTAAATATTTTTATAAATATTTCATTAAATTTAATAACCAACAATTTAAATTGTGTTAATTAACAATAAACATAAAAGAATAGGGATTGGTTGATTTGATTATTGCAGAGTACGTGAGGGTTATCTGCCGAAGGGGAGGGATGCCTAAGTTAGAGGGCTTTCTAAAGGAAATGACTCGTATTCACATTACCTCGAAAACCTCCAGCCAGCCTGTTCACTAAGATTTGAACTACCAGGAATTAACAAATTTATCTGTACACAACTACCAACTAAGGGGGAGGGATTAAACATCGAATCGTTACGTCGAAAGTTTTCCAAATAATTCAAAATAATAAAATATTATTATATAATAATAAACAGTCTATTACAAAAGCTATGTCGAAATTAAAAAACAAGTTTTTGAAAATTATAAAGTTACTTAAGACTATAAAAAGGCTTGAGAAACAAAATTATTCTGTATAATTTATATTTTAAATATTTCATATTATTTATTCTATTTTTAAATAAAGAATTATTTCTAAAATTAGAAATATAGTAAGAATTAGAAAGAAAATCAAATAAAAATCAGCAGTATACTTTTCCTTTTATTTTCTAATCGAAGATCTTAGTTTTTGTTTACAAGATTAAAAAAAAAAAAAAAAAAAAAAAAAAAAAAAAAAAAATAGACAGAGATGCTTCAACATGTTTTGAAACATTTTGCGTCCTCAATTATTATCTGAAATATTGTTTTCCGTTTCCAGTGAGATAAAAGGTCAAAGAACTTTAGTTCAAAACATAGTATAAGGCTAATACTTCTTAAATTATATTTATGTTTCGAAAATTTCTAATAGGAAAAAAAAAAATTATGAAACTTTAGTTAAAAATGAAATGCGAAGCTGAGTATTATACATAAAATTTTGAAACCGTGTGATTTCGTAACAGAATGGAAAAGACGAAAGGAGATTTACTTTTATAAGCAAATGTGAAGAATCTACTTCCAGTTTATAGTTTTGAATTGTATTTTTTAAGGAAAACTTTGAGTTAATTATTCCTTTAAAAGATAATGTCTGTATAGAAAAGGCATATATTTCAAAAAGCATTCGTTTTTCAAGAAAACGGTTGATATCTAGTCCAGTTTCTGGTAATGTAATCGAATGAACTGAGATAGCTTCTTTATTTGGTTAAAATGTTTGATAGCATCATTGTATCGAAAGATTCAGCTGTCCAATCGTTGCTGAAAAAAATATTTTATAAGCATAAAATACAATTAACCCTTACTTAACGATAATTATTAAGAGCATCACAAATCCAGGCAGGGTAAAACGAATCCATCATATAATGCAAATGAAAATACGTTCTGCATGTAAACAATATATAGTTTTAATGGCCCTTAGGTACTATAGAATAGGCTCGTAGAAGCTATCTCCTTCCCCCAGATTAATCAACATAACCATGGCAACTTCTGCAGCGGAAAGATGGTCGAATCTTCTAGTTTCCGAGATCACCTAAATTCCTTTATGCGATAACGACGATACACGTTACGATTGTAAATGAAAGGAAGGTCGCTACAACCTTGAAGCGTCAATTTTAAAGTTCCATACATTTTTTTAATGCATCTAGCTGTTGGGGTTATAATTGCCGATTTTTTTTTTCATACCGCCCATGACAGTTCTAGTGCTGCCGATAATACCGCTCATGACAGTTATAGGGCTGCCTTATAAGAACAGCAGAGTAGTTGATGGTATTGTTGACCGTGTATCGCAGTGTGCCAATTAATACATATGTACCGTTTTCTTTTAGACCATTTTAAAATAAGTATTTTTGAGATTAAAATGAACTTGAAATATTTTTACATTTATACTTTACATATAATTACATATAATGATTAAATTATTATTCATTATTATTTATAGCCGGAGACAGAACGCGATTTATGAAATAGCTATCCTGCGTAGGTGTTACTCAAAAGTGGCACTGGATGCAATTTAAATAAATCCGTAATTTCTAAAGCATGAAGTGCCGGAGCCGCATGGAAAGCTGTTAGGACAATGAATACAAATAAATAAATAAGCAAAAAAACAAATACATGTATACATACATATCCTGATTGCTACTACGGCAGAGTGCAGATAAAAAAATGCCTATTTTAAAAGGAAGAGGATATCTAATATAAAATAATAATAGTTGATGCTCCTGCAAAACGTGGCTTAAAGGAAGAGAATGAAGACGAGCATATACATGCACCATCCATGTATTTAAAACACCTATAAGCCATTTCTTATTTACCTGAAAGCTTATTTTCTTATCTTAAAATATACTACCTACTGCATTAAAGTATATATAAGTAAAAAAAAATAAAATAAATAAAGACATTTATTTAATGTAATGTATTTCGGAAACAAAGCTAGGTATAATTCGGATAGTATACGTATAATTCTTACTGATTAGTTGGATACTCATCTTGATATTTATAAAACATTACAATTTAAGATAGATAATACCTGCAAAAAGAAAAGAAAATCTGAAAGGCTTCAGATTTTAAATTACGTCCAAAGGGCTGTTTTTTTTTCAAACATTTATAGCCGGACTAATTCATTATCTTATATTCTTCACCTCAATTAATGTTGCTAATGCATACGAATAGAAAATTTTATTTTTACATTATTTTTACAATACTAGCAATTGGAAATAACTAATAATATTAGTAACTGGGGTATATTATTATTAATATTAGAATTTAGAAAAAAACATTGCGTTCGTCTCCTCTTCAGAGTTCTAAGGCTAAAAGGGATGACATAATTTTTGAAGTTTGTGATGCGGAAGGATCCATAAAAGGGTAAGCAACACCGTCACGGCAATTATAGATAAAGAAGACTGTAGAATACCTTTAAAAAACTATAGATAATTCTAGACATTTCTAGGCAATATATCATCGCTGAGGACACAGCCCGATTAAGATTGTCTGGAGACTTAGGTCTAGACATTTTGGAATTTCGCTATCACCTATGCCGATTTTTTTTTTTTTTTTTTTTAATTTTCTTAAGGAGGGGATGATTATGAGGATTTAAAGAATAATTTTGGAATTCTTTAAAATTCGTGTCCACCTAGCCTCAGCTTATCGCTAAAGCCCTAGTTGCGGAGATAGTACTGAAGAATTTTTCAAAGTATAATCTCATACATGCATTGCTAAAGTAAGTATAGTGCTGGTATAAATATATTTTTTATGCGGTAAAAGTTATTTTGGAAGAAACAGGAGGGGGAAAAATAAAGAAAATTCTGAAAGCATTCAGATTTTAACGTCGCACAAGAAGATTTTATTATGGTTTTTCATGCTTTTGCTCAGTATCGCACTCTGCTCTTGGACTCAAGCCTGCTAACACAATTTTTTCCCCCTGTTTTTTAGCTTTGTTATTAAGCATCGCCTTATTATATTCGCTATATTATTTCTTTGAAAATTAGCCGCTGAAGCTGCCTAAAAGAGCTAAGAGTTATCATGAAAAAGAAAAAATATATAATAATTTTAATAAGTCTAACTAGTGATTTTTCATAAAAATATGTAATATTTCTAATTAGACGTCTCATGATTTTAATGAATTTTTATTTAAATCAGTCAGATTAAAAAGTAGAAAAAATGTTTTTAAGAATTGCGTTTATTGTTTTACAATCATTTGATTTGCTACTCAGTAATAGAAAGATTAAGTAGTTAAATAACTATCTAACGCTTTACGGAATGACAACGTGCTGGTGCGTGGGTATAATAAGTACTCTTTTTGAGGCAGTGGCAACATGTTACTTTCAAATACCTGAATTTGTAGATTAAAATTGAACGACAAATATCTTACATTTTGTCGAATGGCAAACATTTGGCATTCTGAGATAAAAATGTTTTATTTCGAATAGTGTTGACACTTCTCGCTTTCAAATCTCTGAGTCTGTTAAACAAAAATTCCTTAAATTTGTACAAAACATGAAATAAATCAAAAACAAATTCGAAATTCAAAATTATGACTTTGAAGTGCCCATGTTCAGATGGATGATTATGCGTATCACAAATTCGATGGCTGTAGGTGCCATTGTTTTCCCACAATGTTAGGAACATACATATACAGTACATATAATGATTTTTAAATGCGCAGTCGAAGCCTGGAACTGTTAACAGCTTTCGATAACAATCATGACTGAGCAGACAGTTAATGGTTGAAGGTAGAATCTATGGTGACGCAGTTAACACACCTGAGCTTGAAGAATTTCCAGTCTTTACTTCCACTCATATAAACTCATCTCAATAGATATTTATCCACTCATAATGAAATCTGATACATTTCCATGATTCAATCATAATGAAATATGATAAATTTCTATGTTGCCTTGGTTTTTTA